GAGTGATATGCGATGGGTCTCGTAAACAGGAGGCACCTGGGAATATTCGGGATTGAGAAGAATGCCTAGACAGATGGGAAAGATGGTTTTCCAAATGGGTACCCACACCGACGACACAGGTGGTCCAATAAGAATTGGAACTCGGGACTGAGCTATACCAACTGTAGCTAAATGCTGTGTGATCGATTTGAATTAGTGAAACAGTTGAATTGGAGTACCACGTTGTTGTTCCTTGAGAGATATGTAGGAAGTTGGACTTTATCTGACCTGTTCTCTTCGACCTTCCAGGCATGATTAAACGTTTGGCTTAACAAAAGCTATCTTGTGTAGCCCGTTAGTTCAGAGGGGTGCACTAGCCAATAAACTACGTTACTGTGCAGTCTCGTCGATATGGATGCGTAAAAGTTAGAGATGCGCTCACGAACTAAATAGCCGTGTGACTCTGTGGTAGTTTCTTGCACGAAACTGCATGATGCTTATGAGGTTGTCTAAGTCTCTTTAAAAGTCGACTGTATGCGATTATACCTAGCCAACTGGCTGAAGATAGCAAATCACACTAATAGCACAACACCGGTTTAGCTTAAATGAACCAAGCTCATCGTGCCTAAGGGTGGTGGTGGCGCAGTGGTTTCGTCGCTTTGGACCCTTTGATCCGAGGTTTGAACCCGGTCACCACCACCCAACTGTGGTTGTAGGCAGCTTTGCTGTCGTCCGATTTAATATCACACCTAACCTATCGGGGCCTTGTGGTTCACCACTCAAAGTCCCAGGGCTTCGGCTATCGGTTTCCATCACTGAACAGCGGGTTCTCGTGACTATGGGGCTTTTTTCGTCTACTGTTTATCACACGAAAGTGTGTAATAAAAAAAGAATTGTAGACCGAATATTTTCGAACATTTTGTTTTTACTTCCTTTTATGGAATATACAAAGCTACCGTTTTCAGGAATGGGGAAGAGGCCAATCATACTTTACATTATGGGGAATTTTAGGCGGTGTTAGTGAAATTCGAACACGTCCTCTGGTATGATGAATTAGTGACGTTACCCACAGGCCATCATATAAGCTATAGTTTTACCTCATTTTATAATTGAAAACATGAGTATACGATGATCAATCAAGGCATTGTTGCTGGTGAAAAGCAAATAAATGAAGTTAAACGGGAAATGTGATGGAATGAAATCACGATAACACAGAAATGTAATTCAATCACCTCGGTAAACAACGATGTTTTTATCCGTTTCCCACAATTTGACCTCGTAAAGTAAATTATGATTTATTTTCGTTGAAAGTTGCCTCCATATAAAAATGCAAATGTTCTCCGCGGTTGACACGATCTTATTGTCCCGAAAGTAAGCCACATCCATATCGATATTTTTGTGATCCAGGAGAGCAACAACCTCTTGTTGTATGATTTTCTTTAAATCGGAAATATTCATCACCATTCCGGTTTTATGGTCCACTGCGCCATAGAGTGTGACTTCCATTTTGTAGTTATGACCATGGCCATTCGCGTTATTGCACATCCCAAACACATTTTGGTTTGTGGAATCGTCAAGTTCAATCGAGTGAAGCCGATGACATGCACTGAATTGCTCTACTCGAGTCAGGTAGCACCTGGCTGCCATTAGCTACCGTATTCTCAAAAGAAAGCCTGTATAAAGAAAAACATCTTGTTTAGCTGTGCGAAATTACGTGGTTTTCCGGTTTTAAATTTGAGAAACACCAAGCCATTCGAAACTGAACCATTACAACAGTTGCAAGTGTAAATAAAGGCTCTCCCCGTAACTGGAAGACAAAACAATGAGGTTTTTTTCACACTCGCAATAAAACACATGATTAAGACAAAGGTATTTCATTTGAAATGGTGGAGGGATACGGTTTAAAATCAATACCCAGAAGACCAGTGTATGTAATGGACCGCTAAACGTCCTCACTGTCACCTCCTACGCCTATTCTTCATGATTTCTGCTTACTCTGATGATTTACAGTAGAGGTCATGGTGCTCGAGAGGAATACTCGATTAAATAAATGGTTTTCAAGGCAACAAAATCCATTTTGAACTAAATTTTTCTCTAGGACAGACTGCTGAGACAAGATATCCAAAATTAATTCCGACAATGTGCACATTAAAATATTAAAATATGCCTGTTAAGTTGTGGTTCCGCGGAGCGAGTTCCATTCCTGCAGTGAATCAGCATACAGAAATCCGATCAGCTTCCTTAACGCGGGTCGCGATGACAAGCAGGCGTAGAGAAAAACACTGAAGAGAACAATGGAGAGTGGCATCATCGGCAAAGCAGTGGATAGGATTAGATGTTTGGGATAAAAGATCGTTGATAAATAAGAGAGAGTGGGCGAAAGTGTGAAACCTTGGGGAACACCGGTGTTTACAGGAAATGGCCGAGATATGGCCCCATCTACTCGGACGGAGATGGTTCGCTTGCTGAGGAAACAACGAAGCCACGATACCAGAGACGGGTGGAATCCGAACGTGGGTCATTTCGACAGCAGACTTTCATGCCAAACGCGGTCGAAGGCCTTTGAAATGTCGAGTGAGACCATAAGAGTTTCTCGGTGGTTATCGAGTGCAGTCGACCAGGAATGTGATGTGAGCGCCAGTAAATCACCCGTAGATCGACGGGGGCGAAATCCATACTGAAGGTCATTTAAAAAACCTTCGCGTTCGAGAAACGTACGCAGTTGGTCGGAGATAATGGTTTCAAACATTTTCGAGATTACAGATGTAAGAGTAACGGGACGGTATTCGTTGGGGTCGGAAAGGTCGCCGCGCTTTGGGATTGGAAAAATAATGGCATTTTTCCATGGAGTAGGGAAAGATTTAAGTTCGAGTGAATAACAGAAAAGGCGGCGTAGAACAGGGTAAAACATTTTTAGGACGACAGGTGGAATACCGTCCGGACCGGGTGGTTTACAAACATCCAAACCGCGAAAAGTTTGGCGGACCTTTCTGGTTGTTATGATAGGTAGAAGGCAATGACTGGATGGGTAGGAGGACGGTTGAACAGTAGAGGCGGTAGATAAGGTGGAATTGGAGGCAAACCGGGAAGCGAAGACCTCTGCTTTTTCGTGGGGATCAGAAACAAGAGTATCAGAGGATTTGCAAATGGGAAGTGAACTCCTTGTCTGTCATCGTTATGAATCGGGTTTCTAACATGAACTGTAGGCTAACTCAGATTGTGATTTCGTAATTCGGTACGATGCCGTCTAATAAATTTAAGCGTTAACTAACAACGAAACTCTAGAACCTATTAACTTTTACCTTGCATCTCAATAAATGTGTTCACCTAATTGTCCCCATCATCCTTTACTTTTTCATTGTTTTGAACTCTCGTTGGTTTTTTCATTAAGCTGGATGGTACTCAGCTAAAAGAAGAACTAACGAACCGATGTTTCGCTGTACAACTGTCCAATCGTTGTCGAATTCGTTTATTAACGGACATAAGAGTTCCCCCCATAAATTCTTCGTGGGGATCACAAACGAGAGTACCAGACGAATTGTAAATGGGAGGAAAGTTGGAAGGGCAGAAATTACGTGAAACCGCTTTAGCGAAGGACCAGAATGTTCGGTTACCGGTGGTGGAAGAAGCCAAGTGCGCAGCTTTGTGACAAATGAAGCGTTCTTTAGTCCTCTGAATAGTGACCGAGCATCTGGCTTGCAGGAAGCGATTGCGGGATGCTGGATTGGGTGAGTGGCGCCAACGACGGAAAGCTGAGTTTTTAAAACATACAGCACGGTTGCAAGCATGATTAAACTACTCAGGGGATTGTGATTTGCCGGGTTTGGAGAAGAGTGGAATACAAAGATATATGCCTTGAAGAACAATCTCCGTGAAGGTTGTCATAAACTGCTGCGTTACCCTAGTTCACATGGAACTTTATTAACTCTCTCTCTCTTCTTACATGGTAGCTTTTATACTACGATTGTTAGAAGATTAACGCCTATATACGGCCAGACTCCTCTTCTGCATTAGTCCGCATCTCTCGAATATAACAAAGGTTGAAACAGACTTGGAAACATCCGATTTAAAATAACGATCCTTCCAGAGATAGCAAGCCAGAAAGTCATGAAAACCGTCCCAGTTGGCTGAACTGTAACGCCAAAAGGTTCGTCCGGGGTTTGGTGGTGAAGTGGAGTGAGACAAATGAGTGAGAAATGACACAATGGTTCGATGAGCCTAATGGGGAAAGGGAAGTGACGTTGGAGAAAGAAGACAGAATGGATGTGAGAATGAGGTCAGGGGTGTGGGCGCAGTCACCAATACGATCAAGGATGTCTGGGGAGGTCAACTAGTTGACTTAGGTTGTTGATCACAGAAAAGGCTCGGCTTCGCGTCCCATGATGGTAGTGTCTGAGGAGTGCTTCAGCCATTCCGTGTTGTGGACATTGAAACCTCCATCAATGGTGATTTGGCTGTTAGAATCTGCCGAAATCAGTGTCTCAATGTTGGAAGACAGAATATCAAAAATAGGATAATCACTGCTGCTCGTGGATTGGTAAGCTGTACAAAGGTAGTGGTTGAAAGAAGGCAATCGAAGTTTCAGCCACATAAGCTGAAATTCACGGTTAGAGAAGTCCAAGTGTGACAGTTGGGAAGAAGCGACAGAATAATGAATATAAGCGCAGACACCAGCTTTAGAAAGAAAAGAAGAATGGAGGGAGTAATTAGGGAACTGAAGATGAGTAGTGTCTGACCAGGGGGAGACTTGTGTCTCCGTCAAAAATAAAGCCAAGGGGGAAGAAGATTGTAGACAGCGGTGTACAGAATTAACGTCTCGATTTAAACTACGAATGTTAGTGAAGGCTATGGAGTGTTGTGAGTTCGTCGGTAGAGTGCGCATTCTGTGATTTCTGTGAGTTGTATTGTACATTTGTGGTGATAGAAGACCGGCAACCCAACCACATAAGGCCTCAATAGGTTGAGAGTGGTAGTGAGCCGGAGACAGCAGGGCTGTCTACCAACGAGAGGCATCATCAAAGTCTCCATCACCACGAAAGGGAAGACTCCCAGAATCAAGAACACAAACACCGATCAGTTAAGTTCAGTTTTCACAACCATTAACCATGCACTTGCGTGCACCGGTTTTGGTTGCCCATTTGGATAAAATAGCGAAATGAAGATTGGAATGTCGACCCAAAATCAAGCCTAAGATGCGGAATTCATATAGAGCTGTGTTAAGAGAAAAACGAGTGGATGCACGAGCGCCACTGTTTGCGACACCCA